GAGGTTCACTCTTTATACTGTGAGGTGATGTCACAATTCTGAGTGAGATTACTTCCCTCATTTACATACTTATTGCTAACAATAAACTTTTCCTGTTTGCCTGGCAGCCTATTTTCCGACGATACTCGCAAACCTTTTACATTATTTTTTTGACAATTTTCGGGATGTTTTATTCTTTAGGGTTTAGCAAGTTCCTAAGTTGTGCTTGTGGGTCTCCCCCTTTTCTCGGTGCAGACTTACTTTTTTCCGCTCAGGAGCGCAAGTGTGCGCGAGTTTGATCTACGGCACTTTTCTCTTGTCGGTGAGTTGGTTTCTCTTCTATTTTTAAGTTTCTGAGGAGAGTGGTGAGGAAACCTTTGTCCTAACAAACATAAGCCCCAAACAAAAATAGAATAAAAACAAAAATAAAAGTAACTAAAAATAATGTTCGGACTTGGTTCCTTACACAACATCGACATGCTTAGGGTACCAGGAGTTTATAGGATTCTGTTGGCATACAACAGATTTGAGTGTGATCTTGAGTACATTAGTGCCACCGTGCGGTTACTCAAAACAAGGCTTGCGGAACACAGATATGATATTGATAAAAGAAAATGCAACACCGTCCTAGCCAGATACACCACAGACAATGACGTTCAAGCCTAGCTGGACAAAGCTTCCATTATACAACGATATAAACATGATGACCTTATCAGGATGATAGAAGTTCTCAAGATATTTAAATCTAAAAAGAAAAGCTTTTGCATCAATTTCAAGGATGAAAAATGATTAACTTATGCATGGCAATCTTTATACCAGCAATGACAGTTGATATAATTGTAAAAGCTTTACTGTCCTTAATTCTAATGTTATTGTTAATTGTCTACTTAGACTTTACTTATTAATAGGACTTAATACTGGTGTTTAAAGATTGGCACAGCAATGAGAGTTAGTTCAGGAAAGAACAAAATTTCTTTATTATATCACCTGTAGTAATAGTTTCTGAAATACTGGTGTTTAAAGATTGACACAGCAATGAGAGTTAGTTCAGGAAAGAACAAAATTTCTTTATTATATCACCTGTAGTAATAATTTCTGTTTAATTTCTGTATAAGTTCTTTCTGTTTAATTTCTGTATAGTAATTTCTGCTAAGCAGAAATTACTACTACAGGTGATATAATAAAGGAATTTTGTTCTTTCCTGAACTAACTCTCATTGCTGTGCCAATCTTTAAACACCAGTATTAAGTCCTATTAATAAGTAAAGTCCAAGTAGACAATTAACAATAACAGTTGATATAAATTAAAAAAATTTTTGTAAATTCTCATTTATTCTTATATTTTAGTTTTTTACAGAATTTGTTACTTGTATCACATTGTGTACACTAGTGTATTATTTATGTATTTGAGCATTTTCAAATAATTTTAAAATGTTCCTTTCCTTGCATTCAATTTTGGAACACATTAACTTGAAGAAGATCTTCTATGCAGATCAAAAACATTTGTATTTTATCTGCATTAAACTATACTAGAATTTCTTTTATAAGGTTCATTGGTTTGTTTTTTCTGACATACTTTATCCAGTCTTACAGTGTTTGAACTAAATAAATAACTACTGTCATTGAGTAAGTAGATGGACAAATAATCACTGTGAATGTTTTATGTACTGATATTAATAGATATTATTAATATAGATTCCATATAAAGTTTTTAATATTGGAATTAATATTGGAATAATTATTAAATCCGGAGTCTAGTCTTGCCATTAACCCCACAGCAATGGAAACCTAGGCTAGCTGGATGTTGGGTGATGGCCAAAATCAGTAGAAGTATTTACAGCATATTATATATACATGCTAGTCCAGAAACAAATCAAACTTCAAAATTTAATGATTAATGAAGGTGTATTGCCATTTCACCATTGTAGTGCAAAAAGTTGAAATAAGTGAAACCATTGTAAAGTGAAGATCTTCTATATTATCATTATACAAATAAGTATAGAAAAATACTTATTTTTTTTTTATATTAATTGCTATATAACAATACAGCAGTTAATATATATTTAATATAAAATAATATAATATAATAATATTTATTAAATAAATATAATTTTATATAACAATATATTAAATTATGATATATACATTATGAAATTTTGAATTTAGGTGTGTTTTGCAAATACAGTTCCAGTTTATGGTGAGGTTGTATTTAGTTTATACATAATGAAATTTTTGTATCATATTAGCACATTTTTTCTAAATCAGTTTGTGGTTGATGAAAATATATGTTTATTATTTTATAAAAATGTACTTTTTATATAATATAAACATATATATTATATTATATATTTTTTAAAATTTATTTGTTATATAATAAAGACAGAATGGCATGTCTAATCTGTATTCCTATTTTTCAATTTCTACATTTTAATTCAAATAGAATATATTAGATTCAAATTTTGTACTTCTGTATTTTGTTTTCAATGATATAATTTTTATACTGAAAAGATTTAATCATTTTTTTATACTTTGTACTAAATTGTTATTAAAATACTTTAAAGATAGCTAAAATGTTACTAAATATTAGCCAATGTTTAATGAAATTTTCCAATTAAAAACAATAAAATTTGAATTATTCAAAGAATAATTTTTGTTTTTTATGTAAATGGTTTTGAACTTTAAATTTTTTTTCTTAAAAATAAGTATAATTGTTTGTATGTAAATTTTAATTTATTTCATTTTCTGTTTAAATGTACAAAGTAAATATTATGCATTTGTAATTAAAATTATTTTGTATATTTGTCAAATAGTTTTAAAAAGGATATTGTTTTAGTTTTATATATATAAAAAAAAACCACATAATTTTGTTACAATATAATAAATAAGATTGGCCTGATAATCTTGTAAATATTAATCATACAATTAAAAAAATACAGTATTTGAAATAATTTTAAGAGTAAACATTTTCAAACAAACATATTTCTAATTATATTGAACTGTTAAAAACCTAAACACACTGGTATCCAAAATTAAGTGAACAAACACAAAATTTAGAATTTGTTACTAAATACTTTAATAAAATTTATGAACTTTGGTACACAAATAGTTTTCAATGATTAATCAATCTAGCCCTATGGAATACAAAATGACAAAGAAAAATATGAAATTGCATATTATAGTGAATATAAACAAACATGAGGTAGTTGATCTCCAGAAAATAAGGGTTCAGTAGGGAGTATGATCACCTCTAACTGCTATATAACTCTCTCACAACAAGCTTTATGTTGAATTCCAGGTTGTGGAGATCATCTTGTGGCAATAAATCTCATTTCTCAAAAAGAGTGATCAATTTAGAGGAGTAAATTTCTAAAAAACCCAGGACAAAATATGTTTTAAAATTTAGGGAAAGGTTCTGGAGGCAATAATGAAGTCCAATGCATCTTCTTAGGGCATCCCAAACATGCTCTATTGGATTCAAGTCAGGAGATCTGGCTGACCAATCTATTCTTTGAATATCCTCACTCTTGAGAAAATTATTAACCAGCCCTGTTCATGAGCATTATTGACCATAAAAATAAATTGGGGACCAATTACATCCCTGAAAAATCTTACATAGTGCTTAAGGCTATATTTGAGCAGTTGGGGTGACTCCCTCAAACACAGAGATGTGTACAACTATTCAAAATGATGCCTGTCCAGACCATGAGATTTTCTCCCCAAAATCATCTCTCTCACATTAGTTGGGTGGAAATGGGTTCTAGATTCTCTCCAGTTGAAGAATTGTTGAGAATCAGTGTCTGGACTGAATCTCAACTTTTCACTGAAGAGAAAATACATGGGTTCAAGACTGATGTTGGCGACACCAATTCAAGTGGGCGTTCCTGTAATAAAGTATAAGAGGATACATACCACTGGTCATCTTGCATAAAATCATTATCCTAAATAAATAGTTGGCCTTGAAGCAGCTGTTCCAGAGGTAGCTGAGAGTTTATTGGAGAGCTAGGTAGCTGTCATCTCTCTATATTGTTTAATAGTTGCAACTAGATGGTCATCTTTCTGGGTTGCGATAGATCTTTTTTAGCCCTATCCTGGTTTTCTGGTGATGGTGTCAGTTTCTTGGAATTGCTTTCAGGGCTGACAGAACATATTTCTGCTAATATTAAGCCATTTTGCAACTTTATCCTTTGGCTCTCCATGAGAAATCATTTAATAAACAATTATGTGAAGCCATTATGTCAGAATTTATTCAAATTTTAAAATAACAGATGTATGATGTGTCAACAGCAAGTGCTTATCAAAAATGATTAAAAATTTGCATGTATCCAGGCCAGGTGTGTAATATCAAATGGTTGTGATAGATGAATTTACATATATGTGCTAATTTGGTCTTTTTAGCTAAAATAATTTTAGAGTTCTATTAAAAAAAAAGCATTTGTTTACTTAATTTTGGACACCAGTATAATTTGAATTTGAAAAATTTATAATGTCTTTTAAACTAGTTTTTTTTTCTTTATTTGAGAATGCTTTTAATCAAACTTAATGTAACTTAAACACAACTTATAACTTATTACAAGAACTTAACAAATTCTTGTAATGTAATAAATTTAATAAATATAGATTTGAAATTGTGTAACTGTATTTCCAACATTTGTTGTAGAAAAGGCTATGCACAACCTTTAATTAGAGCATCTTAAATTTAATCATATATAGTAACAAGCTGTGGAAATTTAATCTATTAAAATAATATTTTTAATGATTAATTATTGCAAGTATTAATTATTTTATGTTTTTAAATATTGAATTGAAAGAAAAAAATTCTTTTTTTCTTTTTACATATCCAAAAGATGTTAAAAGAGTTAATAAGGATTTTTTAATCCCTTAAATCTTTACAACTATTGCAGTTTTTATTACATAATATTAATGCTATTTAATATATATTGCCAGTGTCACTTAAATATTGTATGCTTACTTTAAATGAATATTCATATTTATTGCAATATTTGTTATTTATTTTTTATTTAGATTTTGCCGGGAACAAGTCCCCTATAAACCACCTGAAGATACAGAGAATCAAATAAAAATTATAAGTCAAGATATTTTTGGGAAAGTAGATATTGAATGGAAAGATATTTCACTTGAAGATTCGTATTTAAAATATAAAGTATGTATAAAATACTAATAAGTTGATTAAGTAAGGAAACATAATGATTTTGTCTGATTTTAGTAGTATTTTTTGCTATTAAATAAGGGTTAAGAGATGACAACATTTTCTTCTCTTATGATAAATTAGATTAATTAGGGAACATTCATAAACCACATAGCCTCCCCCCATCTTGCTGGACCTCCAAACACGGGCACTGTGACCCTCACAGTGCCCATGGGGGAGCAAGGGGTGCACTTACAGCTTCTAATTCAAACAAAAAAATGTGGTAAACAGAGAAAAAAGAGTAGAATATACTAAAAACTTTATTTTATTCAAAAGTACACGAAACAATCTTTCTCAGCTTGCAGTTTTGTTAATGTAGTGTAACTAATACAATATTAATTAATTTCAATCATTTTATTCAATTAATTGTTCTATTGTATACCAATGCATATCCCTTGCCAGTGCCACTTAAATCAATAAATCTTGCTGATGCCATTGTCTCCAAACATTTTTATTTATTTATTTTTTAAATGTCAGATAGAAGAGTGAAAGCTTTTTTGCAGCCTTCCCTGACAAACAGAAACAGACAATAAAACAGATTAGTTACAAATAACAATTAGGTCAGTTTGAAGTTCAGTGGCTAACAGTTTTTTTTTTCCTATTTAAATGTTGTCGATTCTTTTAACTTAGAATTTACATTATATTGCTTTAATTGTTCACAACATAATGTATAAAATAATCAAATGTACAAAGTGTTTCGGAATTGTTTGGCTAAATTTCACAGGCTTTATAGAGGAGGAAAATGTGTATAAAAAGTCAAGGGCATGGTCATATTTAGACATTTATCATTGAGGAGGTATGGAGGCTGATTTTGCCAATTGATATGTATGGCTGATACTGATAGTTCATTACTAGTACCAGTTAAAACCCTTCATTGCTTCCATCAACAGATAAGTTTGCTTGTATGTTGTCTCACAGAAGCCACTGTTTTTTCTAAAATTGTAAAAAAATGGGCATTGAATCAAAAACTATGATTATATCTTCAATTTCTGCATTTTGTCTACTATCTAACAATATAAAATACTTGTGGATTGAAAGAAATGAGTTTTTTATGTTTATATTTTTGTAATTTGATCCAAACAATTACATATCAAAGTTCAATTTGCTATAAATTATCACAAATTATATAGATTAACAGTTTGTGTTAAATTTCACAGGAAGGTGTTATCTTTCAAGATCAGGCTGGTAAAAGCTTTGTTTATTCTCCTGTGAAAATAATAGACCTGGTCCATCTCCCACTGAAAAAGGTCAATAAACTGCTAATTGTTTTATTATTCTGTTTACAAGAACTCCTTTCTCAATTAGAAGTGGGTCAAATGACAAAGTGATTGTTTTACTATACTCAGGAGAATATTTACTTTTAACATTTGACAACTAGTATTGCCAGGAGTGAATTCTGTAGTTTAATTTTTTTGTGAGATAGTCAGACAGTTTCAAAAATCAGATACCTAACTTTGAAAATACACATCACTTGAAATATTACAGAAAACATCAAAATTTGTGGCTGATTGTTTAAAGAGGAATGTTTTCTATATGAGAAATGAACTAATTAAAAAAATAAAGTGTGGACCATCAAAAATTTTGCAATTTACAGCATGTTGTCAAATGTGCAAACTAAAAGCTTAATAACTTAAAAAAAAATATATTAATAAATTTTCTGAATAAAGGTATGGGTCAAAATTACTGAATGTTATTTCTATGTAATAAACAAAAATTTTAATTGTTGCAAAATTAGAAGTATTACATTTTTTATCATGCTCTGATCATGAGAAAGCTATGTGACAACATCAAAGTACAAAAATCACATTGTCAAAAATAAATGCAATGATCCATTTGAAATGAATTGGAATTAATTCAGACATTTTGGAAGAGAAAATAATATAAAGGTATAGTAAATTGTAAAGCTATAATTATTCTACATTCTTAGTTTATTGAATCATGATCATTATATGTGACAATTGAAAGTACAGTGTCCTCACATTATGACAGAATTAACTGCATGGGGTTAATGAAATATTTTTTTTCTTAAAATTTTGGTGCACACTGGAAAATATATGTATCACATTTTCTTAGACTTGAAGAGTCAGGAAGGTATTGATTTTTTCAAAATTTTACTGAAATCAACTTTGTCCTATCTCCAAGCCAACCTCCTTAACCCTCCTCATGCCCTTCCTCGCCCTTAATCTCCTCATTCCTCATGTCCCTTCTTAATACTCCTTATTTCTTAATTCAGAATTATTATGTATTATTATGGTTTTAAATTTCAAATGACTTTTCTGACTATTCAACATAAGTTGCCAGCATTCGAAGGGCAAAATGCTCCTCAATCCCTGGTAGCTTTGCCCCCTTGAGGGCACTTTTTTTATTTGAAGGTTAATTAGTGCATCTTATAGGTAGCACCCAGGGGCGTGCCGTGACATTTGATGATAGGGAAGCTGTGTTTCTGTAAGAAGCCAACATCCAGGGGCAATCAGTCAATTGCATGTCAGTGATGGTCTAGGGTCCATTTGTATCGTTTATTCGATAAGCCAGTAAAAACCGTAGACTTCTCTAAATGCATTTTTAATATCACAATTACATTCTGAATTGCTAGCCACAATATAAGGGCTACAATAATAGGGATAAAATAATGAAAACTTAAGGAATACAAGGGATAAAATAATGAAAACTTAAGGAATACAAGGGATAAAATAATGAAAACTTACTTGGTGAAATAAAATATGTGGTGGATGTACTGGTACATACAAAATATTCTTCAATTATATAATATACTTTTAAAGAAAATTATAATTAAATATAGCTTTGCAAAGAAACGTACATAAAAATATAAAATATTCTTTACTTTTTAAATCTTAAAACAATGCGCTTAGTCAAATAGCTCCCTACGAGTGGCTAATGGATGGAATCGAGGACAGTTGCAGAGCGTGCATACACGCGGACTGCCAAATCCCCAGCGTACTGAGACCGGTCAATGTCAAATATCTCTTTTGTCGCAACATTAGTATATCTGAAAGGACGCGACAGGACTGTTGTAGATTTTAAGCATTTCTCACCATAGCTGTTAAAATCTAAATATGTTAAACTTAATAGTCATTTGTTTTTTAACTAATTCGTTTTAAGACCAGGTGTTGTCCACGGAAATTTCCGAAATTTACAACTTTTCGGTCACTCTCATTGAACTGGAAAAATTTCTGTCTTTATTACATCTAATACAGCATTTCGAAGAAATCGGTCCCCACTGTACTCGGCTATAGATTGGTTCGGTTAAGCTTTTGTTTAACTAATATTCTGGCTCTTTCGTCAGGGTTTTGTTTATGTCCCCAATTCCCTAATCACTTAATTATTTAACTACTACTTAAGTAGAAATAAGTCGAAACTGGTTACTTTGTACTCGAATATTTGTAGTCTTGGGAAAAAAAGTGGAAAGACAAATTTTTATGACAAACGGATACATAAAATCGTAAATTTAAGGAAAATAAATTCTAGAGCTTTTTCTGTACCTCGTGCATCTCTCTCATTCATTAAATTTAGTCGTAAATGATGCTGTCAAAGTAACAGTTAATTTTTTAACATTATACAAAAATTGTACACGTTTTTTCTACATCCTCTTAAAGATGGGACATATGAAATCGTAATATCACTGGTTTAACATTGAAATCCGTAGTATAAAATCAGAGAGCGGAATAAAAATATCAAATATTTTAATGGATTTTTTTAAACTCCTGTCAACTATACAGAACTATCGTAAAAACATACCAGTAAATTCTTATCGATTGGGTTAAGTTATAAATCTACTCGTTATTCATGTAATCGGCCAGATATCTAGCAGATGGGTGGCTAACAGTCCAGAACCGGTCCCGGATAGAATTGGAAGCGTTATATGTGTAGCATCAACCCAAGGTCGTGGGCTTCCACCAGCTAAACCGGGTGAGATTGGTGCTTTGCAAAGTGCATGCGCAAATCTGGCTTTTTGGAATCTGACAATACAGAGATTCCACTCCACCACTAATATTCAAATATACAATAGCAATCTTATTTTTTTTTTTCACGTGTAGTATAGAAATTTGTAATAAGATACATAATGCGGTTATAATAAAATATTGTGCGATTGTTTTCATATAATTAAAATTAATATGTATTTATTTTTATAAAAACAAGGGAAGCGGCGTGCCACTGGCAGCACAACCACCTTTAAGATGCAGTAAAAGTTTATTTTTCTAATGTTTATAGTCTTCTTAATTGACCTTCTTTAAGAAAGAATCAATTTACATTTAAAAAGAACAAAAGCCATAACATATTTGTAGAATACATTATGAGTATATTATGTTGTGGTTAATACTAGCACAATTACCAAAGAGCTTAGTTAGCAAGTTATTAATTAAGCTTCAAAGTGTAGTGATGTTTCCGTATCTTAAATTTAACTAAGTAATGTGTCAGTAATTGAATTTGTTTACTAATCACAATTTCTTTAGTTAAAAAATGAGCTGTTTAATAATTCCTTTTAATTGAACTTAATTTAATTAATACAGCCAAGAAAACTTTTGCAGCTGTAATCAATGACTTAAACAGACTTAATGACTTAAAGAAACAAGGACATTTTTACTAGTCACCATTGATAGAAGAAGAGCAACATGAAATCAGATATGAAGAGCAAGTTATTTCTAGAATTGATGAGGATCATAGTACAAGATAAATATCTGGAACAATAGGTGCCACTCATTTGAGTGTAGGCACTTGCATCATGCAATTTTCTTCCACAAGTACAATTTTGTCTGTGATGTCTGCAAAGGTATATTAATCCTTTCTTTCTTAGGAATGTGTTTTTTACAGATGAATTGATATTCACTCTAAATGCAATTGTGAATTTTCACAACAATAATGTATGGGCTCCAGAAAAATCCTCATACTATTGTCTAGTATTGATATCAGCAACAGTTTAGTTTGAAAATTTGGAC